TCAGCCTTCACATCCCTACCTCTGTGTATACCCCAGCCTCCACATCCCTGCCTCTGTGTATACCTCAGCCTTCACATCCCTGCCTCTCTGTATACCCCAGCCTCCACATCCCTGCCTCTGTGTATACCCCAGCCTCCACATCCCTGCCTCTGTGAATACTCACCACCACGCTGATATGAATTGGCAGAAATCGAGCAGCGACAACCCAAATCCCCAACTCCAACGCAGCCGATGGATGTCTGCAAATATTTGTCCGAAAACTATTAGCCCTTACCTAATTGCTACTGCCGCGGCGTCAGACGCATCAGCAGCAGCAGCAGCAGCAGCAGCAGCAGCAGCAGCAGCAGCCGAGCCAAGTGCGTCACCACATTGACGACTCATCGGCAAACTGTCACCCAACCATCCCGCGACAACAAAGGCCGCATTCAACTGTTTCCAATCATTTACGCTGTCGATTTATCTTCGGCCGTGTCACCGAATTAGACTGTAACCCTTCGCTCTCGGCCCTTCCCAGTCGCGCAGCGTTGCAAATCGCACCCCGCGTAATACGAATAATCACGACGGAATTTAATTTTCGCGCCGCTGGCCTGGTAATTGAATAAGCGACCCCGAAAAAGACAAGGTAGTCACCGGCGGCGCGTGAGATTAATGGGGTGGCCTCCAGCCTGCTGCTCGGCGCAACGAAGCAAAACGGGGGCTTCTCTCAAGAACTTCTAAGCGCTTACATAATCGAGTGATGATCGTGCGCATGCACCGAAACGTGGGAGTGCAAGCGCTGCGAGAGGCACCTCTCATTGCCCCAATAATAAAGATTGGCCAGAGGCAGCGAGCAGTCGGAGGCTGCCACCCGCGACAACTTCTCGTTGTCGTTGGCGACGCGTCGGCACCGCTTTTCCCGCTATCACCAACTTACGGTTGATTTGGTGAAACAACGCGAACAAACGAGGAGCGCGATCGATTTCACCGACGTCGCGACTTGTGTTTCTGGCACTAGGCGACAATCCACACAACGCCTCGCCAACACCGAAGGAAATAATGTGTGTGTGTGTGTGTGTGTGTGTGTGTGTGTGTGTGTGTGTGTGTGTGTGTGTGTGTGTGTGTGTGTGTGTGTGTGTGTGT